GACGCCAACTGTGCTTCCGGCAGCGCGACAGCCAGACTTCCTGTTCCGCTTACCCACTGCCGGTGGGAGGGGCAAGGCGGATCTGGCTCCACCCACCTGGGCACAGAGGGTGGTTCCCCCCTCTGGGTCAGGGGGGGCCACACCACCTCACGACAGGGGGATGCGACAGAGGGCTAGAAAATCATGCTATGGGGTGGAGAAAAGTGAGTAGAGAACTGCTATTTCCCCTGTCCCACAGCACCAAAACCCAGGGGTCGCCCAAAGAAATGAACAGGCGGCAGGTTTAATACATACAAGGGGCGGTACCCTTCTGCACATTGCACGATTAACCCGTGGAACTCATTGCCAGGGGATGTGGGGATGGGCAACAGTATAAGTGGGTTCAAAAGGGAATTACATAAATTCCTGGAATAAGGCCATAAATGGCAATTAGCCAAGATGGGCAGGGACACAACGCCATGCTCTGGGTGTCCCTAAACGTCTGACTGCCAGAAGTCGGGAGGGGAAGACAGGGCTGGGTCTCCCCAATATCACCACGTTCTGGGCACTGCCCGTGAAGTTCTGGGTGTGCCCCTGTCGGACCCAGGACACTGGACTAGCTGCACCATTCACCTGACCCGGTGCGGCCACACTTCTCGTCTTACCTGGCTTTTCACATCCCCACCCACGAGAATTAAATTTTTCCTCATTGAAATAAACAGAGACATAAATCCAAAGAGTTTGGTCTCAGGTTTGTTTTATTCAGTGCAACACTATCAAGGGGATGTGAGTCCATCTGAGAGCCGAGAACCACTGTGTGGGAGAGCAGCTAACGCAGGCTGCTGGGTGGATTTCAGTGCGGTGTGGCCATTGCCCCAGGTGGGGAATCAGGAGAGAAGCTTTAGCAGGAGAAGACCAGCGAGGGCTGGGAGGAGGCGCCCGGCTGGTCCCGGAGCCACGCCTGCCGCGCCGGAGGCCTCTGTGCATTCGACCTCGGTTAGAACTACACTGATATCTGTGAACATCTGCGAAGCCACTTGTGCCATGATGCAGATGGACTCGGAAGCGCAGCCCTTCATGACAGTCTGCTTTTTATGTCCACCTGTGGGGGGGAGGGGGGAGGAGGCAATTTTTGTCAGGCTATTCAAGCTGGATTAAGACACAACACCCCCCACCCCCAGTGCCCCACCAGGATGCCCCGCAGCCTACATCTCCCCATCTGCTCTGCTCACCCCCAGCTGTCTGGGCCTACATGGACTCCTTTTCTCCCGTGCTCTGATGCAGGCTCGCGGTGTGTCCGTGAACAAATCACTCACAGCCCCGATCTAGAGACCACCGTCAGTACCCGGATTGGGTCAGGCCAGTTATAGCCCTCGCCGGCTCATCTAGCAGCAACAGCTCAGTGCTGGTGGCAGTGGTGGGATCTCTAAGAAGGGTGGCTTTGTAGTGACTTAAGGCACCATTATGGGACTGCCACAGCCTCCCTGTGAGAATTTAGGCAAGTCATGGCACAAACTGTTCCAGTTTCCCCATTTTTTAAATGGGGAGAACGATCCTTCTTTTGCCTGTTTAGATTGCAGGCTTTTGGGGGCAAGGATTGTATCTCACCAGGAGTCCTTTAGCATCAGGCACAAGAGGGGACCCCAATCTCCATCTAAGGTCTGTGCAGCGCCTGGCACAACAGGGGCCGCCAAGACTAAGCCACTGCCTATCACGAGTAGCTTAGAGACTAAACTCGACACAGGAAACGGATGGGAGGAGAACCAGACGTACAGGGAGGGGAAGACACTGGCCCAAGATCACACCTAAGCCCAGTGCTGAGAATAGGACCCAGGTGTCCCCATCTGCAGCCGATACCCTTCACTTAGTGACCCCAAAGAGTGACTCACTGCGCACCGACAGGGGGTGGGCGAGAAACAACAAAGGAAAAATAACCCCAGAATGAATGAACAGAAGTTACCAATTGTTATGGTCCCGGTGGCATCAATACACTGGGTCTCGGATCCAGTACAATTTATGGTTTGCTCATTGCAATGATCAGCGTTCATCGCGTAGCAGCCAGGGCAGCGCCGGCCGTTGGGTTTGGTGTCGGCCGGGGGCACTGGGAAGAAGCGGAGCAAACGCAGTCAGCTCGGGGGACGAGCCCCAGGCGGCGTCGGGGCAGGGAGAGCAGCTGGGGGCAGCACAGCTCAGCCCTGGGTGCCCAGTTGTAGCTCCGGGGTCGCTGGAGGCAGCAGGGGCAGGGGAGAGGTTTGCAGCAGGGAGCCCTGGACCCCACCCCGGGTGGGGCCAGCTGGGTTCACACCTGGAGGCAGCCTAGAGCCCAGCCCAATAAAATTCCACCTGCACACGGGCTCAGTGTTATTCAATGGGGCACCCCCTGCAGGGTCGGAGGACCAGACTCAGGAAGTTAATGTGAGGTGGGTTCCAGGCAGCGGGAGGTGCTGTGGGATGGAGGGGGAGACGCAGAGACGGGGAGAAATACCTGTAATATTGGTGGTTCTGCAGGCATTTCCCACGCAGCATTTGAAGCTTGTCCTTGTCATTCCATCGCCAAAATTTGCAGAGAAAGGGCTGGCTTTACACAGGTCGGAGGACACACACTTTTTGATAACTGTCTGAGTCTTGCTTCCCACTGCATAGGAGGAGAAGACAGAGATTTATTCCCCTTCCACTCACACCCCATCGACGCCCTCTTCACAACGACACCCAGGTGCCATTAGCCTTCCTCTACCCATGGGGAAACTGAGGCTCAGGGTGGGGAAGCAACTTACCCAAGGTCCCACAGGGCTAGATAAGCGATTCCAGCACCTACATCCAGCATTTAGATCCTCCAGCTCCCCGGCCCCGAATCTCCTGCCCATAAAGTCCTTTCATTGTCAAAGTTCCCACCAGGGGGTACATGCAGGGCCGCTGAAATCCCAACGCCGTGTGTCCCACTCACCTCTTAGCCGCAAGGGGATTCACAGACTAGGTGTTCCCCTGCTGATATCACCTGCGGAGCCTGATTCAGGGGACGCTCTCGGAGCACCCCTACTGGATTGGGCCCTGCACAAAGCCCAGCCACGGGAGGGGGTGGAAGGGTGCCCCCTGTATACCCGAGAGCCCAGTGGGTTAGACACGCCTCATGGATGTGGGAGACTGAGAGAGACCCATCAGGAGCCAGGGGGTCAAGCACGACTGTAGGAGGGGAGAGGGGAAAGGCCCCGTTGGGGAGCTAGCCCACAGGGTCTAACATAGAACCCAGGTGTCCTGGCTCCTTAACCACTGCTCAGA